TTGGTAGTCCAGGCTGGCCTTGAACTCACAGAGATCCGCCTGGCTCTGCCTCCCGAGTGCTGGGATTAAAGGTGTGCGCCACCACCACCCGGCCGCTTGCTTTTTTTTTTTTTTTTTTTTTTTTAAAGAGAAGGTCTTGCTATGTAGTTCTGGCTGGCTTGGAACTCAAAATGCAGATCTAGCCAGCCCCAAACTTGCAGCAACAGTCCTGCTTCTGCTCCCCCCCTCCCCCCCAAGTGCTCCTGGGATGACAGGTATGCATCATCACACCCGGGCTCCTCCAGCAATCTCAGTGGATAGACTTGGTTACCTCTGCGTCTCCTCTTCCGACACGTGTGGAGGCCAGTCAGGGTCCTTGTTCTCTTCTGGGGGGGGGGGTTCATCTGACACTCGCAGGTGTGTGGGGAGGAGCAGTCTATGTAGGATGTAGAGGATTTAGCCAAGGTTAGACCAGACTTTCCCCCGCTCTTGCATCTGGCCTGTTTGCGGGCAAGGCTTTATGGAAGAGAATCCTGTAGTTTACTGTCTCAGCAGCCCCAGCTGCGTGGCTACATCTGGAACGGCTTTCGGGGCCATTCTGTTTGCTTCAATGACAGCAGCGAAGGACTGACTCTGTGTCATTAACAGGGTAGGAAGGCCGCAGAGAGCATATGAGATAAGACCAGCACCGCAGCTTTGTTCTCAATCCACTCCAAGTACCAGCTGTAAGTTCAGAGCCACTGGAGGCTCCCCCATAGTCCACTGGAGGCCCCCCATAGTCCACTGGAGGCTCCCCCATAGTCCACTGGAGGCCACCGGAGGAGGCAGAGGAACAGTCGGCGGTGAAGACCCGCGGCCCGGCCCCTGTTGCTGGCTGGAGCATTTTCCTGGGACTGTAAGCATTCTCATTACTGTGCTTATGAAGAAGCTGTCTCGGAGCACACAGCCCACTTCCCCAGATCCACTGTCCCAGCCCTGAGGGGAGGTTGGCTCCTGGACCTGTGGAGGGCTGGGGGGTCAGGGGCTGGGCTCCTGGGGCAGCTGGGCTGCATACAGGGCCAGCGTGTGGTGCAGGAATTGGTACTGCTCGGCAGTCTGGATCATGCCTCCTCTGTAAGCAGAAGCACAGGGTGAGAAAGAGTCAAGGACACTGCCCCATGCCGTGGTTAAGCATTCTCCCTCACTGTCCTGCTGGGAAAGCTGACTCTCTCCTCCTCAAGGAGGGAAGTGCAGGGGGCAGGGCCCCGTCTGGACTCTCTGTCCCTTATGCACCCAGCTCTTGAGCAAAACCAGACCCGATTTCTCAGGTTGGGTCAAGAATGTGTTCCCATACTCAAGTTTTCCACTTGTCAATAAAAGAAGTTAACCCGGGGGCTGGAGAGATGGCTCAGTGGTTAAGAGCACTGGCTGCTCTTCCAGAGGACTCGGGTTCAATTCCCAGCACCCACATGGTAGCTCACAACTGTGTGGAAGTCCAGTTCCAGGGGACCTGACACCGTCACACCAATACACATAAATAAATTGAAATAAATAAAAAAGTTAACTCCACATGTGTACAGCAGGTCTCCTTTCTAGAACATTCACAGAGGCAAACCCACTCCTTCTTCCAGTTGGGGAAATAGACATTTACCATTCTAGATAAAAATGTGGTGCTGAGTACAGTGGTGTACGCCTTTAATCCCAGCACCTGGGAGGCCAAGGCAGGCAGATCTCTGTGAATTCAAGGCCAGGCTGGGCTACAGAGTGAGCTCCAGGCTAGTCAGGACTACACAGAGATGCTGACTCAAAAAAGGGGCCGGAGAGGGTACATAATTATGGTAACAGCTGGAAGCACACACGCCAGGGTCTGAGCCTGCTTCTTTTCCTCCAGCCCCAGTGAGCACCATAGCCACCTTGTGTCTAGAGCAAATTGCATCTTTAGAAAAAAATAAATCAAGACAGAGTCTCCCTCTGTAGCCCACACTGGCCTTGAGCTAACTAAGCAGCCTGACACTGGCTTTGAACTCACGTTCACCTGCCTTGGCTTCCTGAGTGCTGGGATTACAGGCACGCAGTATCGTACCTCTCCTTGACTGTTACCTCGTTTCCTAGCTTTCCCCTGAGTAGAGAATTTGGGGGGTGGTGAGGGATAATTCAGGGTGACATGTTTAACTCCAGGCCTCCAAGCTAACATAGACGATCTTTCATGTGGGCTTAATTACTGGCAACATAGGAAGCTTTTTAAAATAAAATGAGCTCCTTGCTTTCACCTAGGAGGGCCTGAAGGTGATGAAGACCTCAGAACCACCCATGCCATTGCCGATGAACATGGCCGCACCTGCTTCCTATAGACCCACCTGTCCAGGCGCAGCTGGCACACGATGCCCAGAATGTCCACTTCCCCTCGGGCCTTCAGCTGCTGGCAGCCGATGCGGGTGGCAATGAAGCAGCCTGTCCGGCCGATCCCTGCACTGGATGTGACCAGAGAGAGGACACAGAGGTCACAGGAGACCAGGGAACAGGGGCTGCACTGGATGTGACCAGAGAGAGGACACGGAGGTCACAGGAGACCAGAACAGGGAAGACAGGTGAGCAAGGAAGGTTGGGGCCAGGCTTCGAACAGCGAAAGAAGAAATGGGGCCGAGGTGCTCACACCTCTAACTTCAACATCCCTGGCATCCCTGATGGAGACAGATGATAGCTCGTCCTGGACAGGTTCGTGAGCTTTATTAGTCTCACTCTAGGCCTAGCGCAGCTCGTCTTTTGCCTTCTGGTTTCTATGGACTTTAATTAATTAATTTATTTTTGTTTTTAAAATTTATTTATTATGTATACAGTGTTCTGCCTGCATGTATGCCTGCATGCCAGAAGAGGGCACCAGATCCCATTACAGATGGTTGTAAGCCACCATGTGGTTGCTGGGAATTGAACTCAGGACCTAGATCCCATTACAGATGGTTGTAAGCCACCATGTGGTTGCTGGGAATTGAACTCAGGACCTCTGGAAGTGTTACCGGTGCTCCTAACCTCTAAGCCATCTCTCCAGCCCCCTCGTTTTGGTCTTTTGAGACAGGATCTCACTATGTAGCTGTAGCTGTCCTGGGAGTCACTCTGTAGACCAGGCTGGCCTTGAACTCACAAAGATCTGTCTGCCTCTGCCTCCCAAGTGCTGAAATTAAAGATGTGTGCCACTATGACTGGCTCTATGAACTTTAAAATTTATTGTTATTATTGTTATTATTATTATTATTATTATTATTATTATTATTATTATTATTTTAGATAGAGGCTCATAGGTCCTGCTAGCCTGAACTTGCTTTGTAGTCCAGGCTGGCTTTGAACTCCTACCTCCTATGGGGATTATAAGTGTGTACCCACACGTCCAGATTTTAGTTTGATTTTTTTTTTTTTGAGATAGAGTTTTACTCTGTAACCCCAGGGATGCCTGGAGCTTACTATAACCCAGTCTCCCTGTAATCCTCCTGAGTCCTGGGGTTACAGAACTGCCTCCATACCCAGTCTCTTTTTTTTTTCAGGTTGTTATTGCTGTTGTTGTCTGTTTGTTTGAGACAGAGTCTCTATGTAGCCCTTGCTGGCTTGGGGCTCACTGGGTAGACCAGGCTGGCCTCAAACGCACAGATATCTGCCTGCCTCTGCTTCCCAAGTGCCCGGGATTAAAGGCCGGGTCTGTCTTTTTCCTAGGTTTTTTTTTTTTTTTTTTTTAACATTTTAAATTTATTTTAATGTGTGTGGTGAGTGTGTGCATGTGTACACCTGTGCCATGGTGCCTGTATGAAGGTTAGAAGGCCACCTTCATGAGTCAGTCTCTCCTTAGACTACGTAGATTCCAGAGATGGAATCCCGGCTGCCAGGCTTGGCTGCAGGCGCCTTTACCCACCGAGGCACCTTGCCAGCCCCAGCTTTTCTTTTTGCTTTTCAGTAATGGGGTCCAGCCATGTAGCCCAGACGGACCTCAAACTACCAGCCTCACTGCTGCAGCCTTGAATATGCTCAGCCCTGGGTTCACTGTTGTGCCCTGTTCCAGGGTTCGCTTTGATGACTGCATCTGTGTTGATGGTCCAAGGCATCTAACGACAGTGCCTGGCTGCATCTGTGTTGATGGTCCAAGGCATCTAACCGACAGTGCCTGGCTGCATCTGTGTTGATGGTCCAAGGCATCTAACCGACTGTGCCTGGCTGTGTCCTGGCTGGCCCCTTGAGCATTCCTTGTCCCACCACAACCTCAGACCAGCTTCCACAGATGCTCTCGGGCCTCCGCTCTTGTCCATTATCCTCTTCTTGACTCTTGACTCTGTCACCTTGAGATTTCTTTCTCTCTTCCCTCACACCCCTTTCTTGACTTCACGCCCCCGCCCCCCGCCTTAGGCAAGCCTCACGTGTGTAATAGAAATTACACCTCGCTAGCGTAAGTAATAGAAACCACCAGTGACTCCCAGCACTTACACTGTGCACCCCCTCTGCATGGGTTCAGGCATGCCTTGTTCGTACTTTTCACCTCCTCCTTTTTCCTCCCCCTTCTCTCCCTTCTCTCCCCTCTCACCATGGTACCATGTAGCCCAGGCTGGCCTTGAACTCCCTATGTAGCTTAGACTGGCTTTGAACTCCCGATCCTCCTGTCTCTACTATATGCCCAGGGAATAAACTGAAAAACTGATCCACTGCCAGGAGCAGGGTCAGAGGGTCAGCCTGGGGACACTGATGGGAACCTATCTGGAAGGCTCGTAAGGGCTTCACGAAGGGACCTCGTGGAACTGGCTAAGACACTTAGATTTGCCGTTTGGTTTTATTTTTTGTTGATACTGGGAATTGAATCCAACACCCCAGATTTACCATTTTAAAATAATGCTTGGGGCTGGGCACCTACAGCAACAACAAATCCAACAAAATCAACAGCAAACCCAAGCACTAAAAGACCCCAAGCAAACAAAAAAGTTGTTCAAGGAGGAAATGAACCCCCAACAGCGGAGGCCGCGTTTATCTCTTCTCTACCTGACTAGAAACCTCCCGCAAGCCAGGGCTCTGTAGAAAAGAGATAACAATACCGAATCGCTTGGACTAGAGATGGCTGTCCAGGTAAGGGTTGGGTCTGTCTGGTGTGGTTTTCCTTGGCGACCTGGTGGGCAGGGAAGGCCAGCGCTGGTTCGAGGCTGGGGTTGGGGAGGCCCCTACCTGCAGTGAACCACGATTGGCCCGGAGTTGGCAGCGGTCTCCGAGCTCTCCACCTCAGCCATCAGGCGCAGCAAGGGCCCTGCCGATTCTGGAGTCTGGTGGTCTGGCCAGGCCGAGAAGAGCACGTGCTTTACCGAGCGGCGTTCCTCCTGGTGCTGGCGTGTGAGGAAAGGAGAGAGGAAGGCATGAGAACTGGGGTTGGGGATTTAGCTCAGTGGTTAGAGCGCTTGCCTAGCAAGCACAAGGCGCTGGGTTCGGTCCTCAGCTCTGGGGGAAAAAAAAAGAAAGAAAGAAAAAGGAAAAAAAAAAAAAAAGACACGAGAACCAGGATATGGGTGTGGGTGCTGCCTCCTCTCGGTGCCAGCAAATAAGTACTGGGCATCAGCTCGGAGCAGGCAAAGCTGATTCTCCCGACGACAACGACGACGACAATGATGATGATTACGGCTTTGATATTCATCTTCTACCATGACCCACTCCAAAATTCAAGGAAGGAGAATTTGAGAGAGGGAGAGAGAGCCAGGCTCAGTCTTGGCTCTGCCTCTATCACACAACCATGGGTAAGCACGTACGTTAATCTCATTTTCTTCTCTGGTAAAGTGGGCACAATGATATCCTTCTGGTTTGTTTCCCAGGATGCTCGGGAAGCAATGAATTGATACAAAAGTAATTTGAAGGTGTAAGAATGTGTACAGCAACAGGAAGCCCCCCCTCCCTCCCTTCCTCCCTCTCCCCCTCCCTCCCTTCTCTCTAGATGGGAGTCTTGCCACGCTGTTTCACTCAGTTCTCCCCTCCCACCATTTGGTTCCAGGGATTGATCTCACATCATCAGGCTGGGCAGCAAGCTCCTTTACCCACTGAACAATCTTTCTGGCCCCAGAAAGCATTTTTACAGTCCATCTACCTGTGCTGGCACATCTCTGACCTCCCCTCACTCTTCCAGCATCCTGTGTCTGCCCTCTCCCCTGGAGCCTGGATGTGTAGCGTGGGCAGGAGATGCTTCCTGGTGGTCTCTATTTGTTTTTTGTTTTTTTTCCCGTGCATCTCTATTAAATTAGAGGTGCCCCTGAAGGTTGTACCCATTTCTTTTTCTTCTATGGCACCTCTTAGGCACCTAGGATCAAGGCTTAAGTTAGTAAACTTGGTCCCCTAGTAAATGTGGCGCCTGAGTTCCAGAGATGCTAGCGTGGCCCAGATCTCCCATTGGTCCGTTTCAGGGGATGGTACCTGGATGGTAAGTTGCCTCACAGTGTACTCTGGGTGTTCTTTCATGCTCTGGATGCGGATCTGGAAGGGCCCATAGGTTTCCTCGTCGGTGGGCCAGTAATGTACACATTTCTAGAAGGGAGGGGTCTGGGAGTCAGAGTGGGAAGGTCCATTGGTGGAGCAAGGCTGGAGCAGCCGAGAGAGGCCTAATGTCCCCTTCTCCCATTTCACCCCATGAGCCAGGTCAGTGCCTGGAGTCTGGCTCTCCCAAGCTTAAGCGCTATGGTGTCGCCCCCCACCCCCCACCCACATTTTGGCTGTGAACAGCTCCCCTGGGGCCTATGTATCTCAGGAATCTTCCCGAGGGAAATGACCTGGGGCCCCATCAGAGTTATGAGCTCCCATTGAGGCTTCTGGTCTGCTCTGCATGGGTGGTGTTCGAAGGGAGGCCACAACCCGTTCTGGGTGACCCCGCCTCTTACCTCCTTGCCCTCTCGGAGCTGGGTGAGCATGACAATGAGGCACACTTCTTCTTGCCACACCATCTCCCAGAAGTCCGCCACAGTGTTTGGCATGGGGCCCTGGGTGGCAATGTAGACCTTCTCCTGCCCATCATAGCCCTGGGGAGGCAAAGCACAGAAGGAGAGAGAGGCTGTGGATTCACACTCAAAGCCAGTGAACATGCGCACTTAGATACGCTCACACACAGACACAGACAGACAGACAGACAGACAGACACACACACACACACACAGACACAGACAGACAGACAGACAGACA